AACAGACCCAACAGTCATGACATGCATGCTGCTGATTCTGTGTAATTGAATCACTAATTGAAAGGGGCATGTTCAAAATAATAGCAGGGTGGAGTTCTATTAGTGAGGTCATTCATTCTTTGAAAAACAGGTGGCAATTATTGCCCTTGTTTAAGGAAGGAAGGCAGAAAATGTTGTACATGCTGGTTACAGTGCATTTCTCTCTGAAATTCTGAGGAAAATGGGTCGTTCCAGACATTGTTCAGAAGAACAGCGTACCTTGAATAAAAAGTTGATTGGAGAGGGGAAAACATATAAAGAAGTGCAGAAAATTATAGGCTGCTCAGCTGAAATGATTGCAAATGCTTTAAAATGGCAACCAAAACCTGAAAGACTTGGAAGAAAGCGAAAAACTACCATTCGAATGGATAGAAGAATAGCCAAAATGGCAAGGACTCAGCCAACAATCAGCTCCAGGAAGATCAAAGAAGGTCTAAAGTTACCTGTGAGTACTGTTACAATTAGAAGACACCTATGTGAAGCCAAGCTGTCTGCAAGAAGTCCCCGCAAAGTCCCACTGGTGAAAAAAAGACGTGCTGAAGAGGTTACAATTTGCCAAAGAGCATATTGACCGGCCTAAAGAGAAATGGCGCAACATTTTGTGGACTGATGAAAGTAAGATTGTTCTTTTTGGGTCTAGTGGCCAGAGACAGTTTGTCAGACGACCCCCAAACACTGAATTCAAGCCACAGTACACTGTGAAGACAGTGAAGCATGGTTGTGCAAGCATCATGATATGGGGATGTTTCTCATACTACAGTGTTGGGCCTATTTATCGCATACCAGGGATCATGGATCAGTTTGAATACATCAAAATACTTGAAGAGGTCATGCTGCTTTATGCTGAAGAGGAAATGCCCTTGAAATGGGTGTTCCAACAAGACACGATCCCAAACACACCAGTAAACGTGCAACATCTTGGTTCCAGACCAACAAGATTGACGTTATGGAGTGGCCAGCCCAATCCCCAGATCTTAATCCAATAGAAAACTTGTGGGGTGACATCAAAAATGCAGTTTCTGAGGCAAAACCAAGAAATAGAGAAGAACTGTGGAATGTAGTCCAATCATCCTGGGCTGGAATACCTGTTCACAGGTGCCAGAAGTTGGTTGACTCCATGCAACACAGATGTACAGCAGTTCTCAGAAACAGTGCTTATACAACTAAATATTAATTAAGTGATTCAAAGGAAAGCAAAATCTTCAAAAAAAATAGCAGTGTTCTATTCTTCTTTACAAACTCAAACATTCACTATATAAACTGAAAAATGTTTGAACAGTCTAATATTCACTTTTCTTAAATTTTTTTAGAGGAACAATACAAATTTGATATATTTTTCTTCATGTTTTGATTTGGAATAGCATGTGTAGTGTTCCCAATGCATTTGTGTGTATGGATATAAAAGCTATTAGAAGGATTTTGAGCTTTAGTCACTTTTTTCAACACACTGCTATTAATTTGAACACAACTGTATCTCAGAATCTACTGATCATATCATCTGTTCAGTTTCAGTTTCCCAGGATTGTAATGTGCGTCCTCATAGATGTCTGAAAATCCAAATATTGTACATAGCACCTTTTTCTGGTAATGATCTCATTTGTCAAGTTACTTTATACAGTGACTGGATTGTCAGTCCTCCGTAAGAAAGTTAAATAGATACTGTACATCCATTCAGCTAGTGCGATATACACTCACCCTCTTGATAATAATTACAAGTGGACTTTCTTGAATACCAATTTATGGGTAGAGTCTTGAGTCATGTGGAGGTGGCATTTTAAATTGGCTGCTGAGGTCTTTTCTCCCTTTTTTTTTTGCCCGAGTTAGATTCTCCCCACTTCCCACTCCACTACTGACTTATACGATGAGGAAAATAATTATTTGATCCCCTGCAGATTTTGAAAGTTTGCCCACTTAGAAAGAAATGAAAGGTCTATAATTTTGATCATAGGTGTATTTTAAAAGATAGAGACAGAATATCAACCAATAATCCAGAAAAAAAATACATGATACAAATGTTATAAATTGAGTTGCAGTTCAGTAGGTAATAGTATTTGATCCCCTACCAACCAACAATAATTCTGGCTCCCCCAGACTATTTGCTCATGTGCTACACAGATTAGTCCTGTCAATATAAAAAGGTGCTCCTAATGACGTTATGTGTATGAAAGACATTAGGTGTGGTCTGGATGTTTGAGTTGAACTTAAGTTCGACTCTAACATCAGCTGCTAGTTCTGCCCAGTTGTTTACATTTGCCCGGCAAATGGCAGATTGTGACAGGTGCAGACCGGTCGGGCGGGTGTCTTTTTTTTTTTTTTTTTTTTCTAATTTCAGTAAGTCGGCGAGACAACGCTGAATGCCGTGATTAAAGATGGATTTTTTTTTTAAACAAATGTCAGTCCTGCTGCAGCAGGTTCTATACATTGTACAGATGTGCAACTTTGCAGGTAGTTTAAGGGAACCAACCAGGCATGATATTTAAAGGAATTTTTCGGGTTTTTTTAACATTAAGCAATGAAAAACGACTGCCCCTTTTAAAACGGTACTGTTTGAATTTTTTTTTCACTGATTCATGTCCCTCAGGGCAGTATCCAAGTCCCCTACCCCTTTTATGGCCAATAACTTGCATCTAATCCTTCAAAATCTGCACTTTTGAATTTACAAGTTCGATTCCCATAGGCTTGCATTGAGATCGATGTTTGCAGTTGAACTTTCATTCAAATGTTCAATCACGAACCAAACGGGGGGGTTTCGGCCATCACTAAAAGACACCTGACCAAAGAATCTTTCTTCCATTCAAACCTAACTACCATGGGCAAGACCAAAGAGCTGTCAAAGGATGTCAGGGACAAGATTGTAGCAAGAAGCTTGGTGAGAAGGAGACCACTGTTGGAGAGATTATTTGCAAATGGAAGAAATACAAAATAACCCATCAATTGCCCTCGGTCTGGACCTCCATGCAAGATTTCACCTCATGGGATAAGGATGATCATGAGAAAAGTGAGGGATCGGCCTAGAACTACACAGGAGTATCTTGTGAATGATCTCAAAGCAATTAGGGCTAGTCACAGTCAACACAATAGGCCGCCATGGATTGAAATCTGGCAGCACTTGCAAGGTCCCCTCCTCAAGAAGGCACATGTACAGGCCCATCTGAAGATTGCCAATGAACATCTTAATGATTCAGAGAAGGATTGGGAGAAAGTGCTGTGGTCAAATGAGACCAAAATTTAGTTTTTTGGCATTAACTCGTCTTGCCGTGTTTGGAGGAAGAAAAACTCTGACTATGAAGGTAAGAACACAATCCCTACAGTCAAGCACGGAGGTCGAAACATTATGCTTTGGGGCTGTTTCTCTGCTAAAGGTACAGGCCGACTTAGCCACAATGAGGGGCCAATGGACTAGGCCAGTGGTCGGCAAGCCGCGGCTCGCGAGCCACATGCGGCTCTTTACCCACTCTAATGCGGCTCTTCTGTGTGCCGGGCGCCTGCTCCCCTCCCTCCTCTCGGTCGGCCGCTCCCCTGCCTCCTCTCGGTTGGCAGCCCCAAAAGTCCGCGCGGACCTTTTAATCCGGCCCGCGGATGTGGCTGTCAGGATGTGTGTAGGCGGGGCAGCGTGCCGAACGTGAGGGGAGGGGAGCTAGGCTCCTCTCACAGTCCGCCCTGAAGACCCGAACGGCGCGGGAAGACAGCGAGAGGAACGCAAAAGGTAAGTGAATTGACACGGGGGACTTGGCTTACTAGAAGGGGGGGGGGGATAGTACTGTGGGGGATGAAATACTATATGAGGGATGAATTACTATATGGGGGGATGAAATACTATATGAGGGATGAAATACTATATGAGGGATGAATTACTATATGGGGGGATGAAATACTATATGAGGGATGAAATACTATATGAGGGATGAATTACTATATGAGGGATGAAATACTATATGGGGGGATGAAATACTATATGAGGGATGAAATACTATATGAGGGATGAATTACTATATGAGGGATGAAATACTATATGAGGGATGAAATACTATATGAGGGATGAAATACTATATGGGGGGATGAAATACTATATGAGGGATGAAATACTATATGAGGGATGAATTACTATATGAGGGATGAAATACTATATGGGGGGATGAAATACTATATGAGGGATGAAATACTATATGAGGGATGAAATACTATATGGGGGATGAAATACTATATGAGGGATGAAATACTATATGAGGGATGAAATACTATACGGGGGATGAAATTACTATGGGGGATGAATTACTATATGGGGGATGAATTACTATATGGGGGATGAATTACTATATGGGGGATGAATTACTATATGGGGGATGAATTACTATATGGGGGATGAATTACTATATGGGGGATGAATTACTATATGGAGGATGAATTACTATATGGGGAATGAATTACTATGGGGGATGAATTACGATGGGGGATGAATTACTATATGGGGGATGAATTACTATGGGGGATGAATTACACTTTGGGGGATGAATTACTATATGGGGGATGAATTACTATGGGGGATGAATTACTATATGGGAGATGTATTTTCAGTTTTAAAAATGTGGCTCTCAAAATAAATTTCAATCATGGTTTTGGCGAGATTTGGCTCAGTTGAAAAAAAAGGTTGCCCACCACTGGACTAGGCCATGTATTGTACAATCTTGGACACTGAAAATGGGTTATGGATGGGTCTTCCAGCATGACAATGACCCAAAACATAACGCCAAGGCAACAAAGGATTGGCTCAAGAAGAAGCACATTAAGGTCATGGAGTGGCCTAGCCAGTCTCCAGACCTTAATCTTATAGAAAATTTATGGAGGAAGCTGAAACTTTGAGTTGCCAAGTGACAGCCAAGAAACCTTAAAGCGGAGTTCCACTCATGCTGTCAAAAAGTAAAAGTCAGCAGCAACAAAAACTGTAGCTGCTGACTTTTAAAAAACAGCCACTTACCTATCCCTCGGTCCCATGGTGTGTCCCCCGCAGCCCATTTCACCAGCTGTCCTGTAATCCAGGAGGCCGGCATCTTCAGTGTGGGCACCCAGCTGTGACAGCTTGCGGCTTCACAGCCGAGTACCCACTGCGCGCATGCGCGAGTAGTGCTGCGCTTCATGAATGGTCCTGTAGTCTTCTGGGACCTGTCACGTGTCCCAAAAGACTACAGGGAGGGAGGGAGGGAGGGAGGACACCTTCCGCTTTCGATCACCAAAGGTGCCAATCCTTAATGGGGAGCGGGGGAACAGTCCTTAAAGCTGAACTTCCCCTTTTGGGTGGAGCCCTGCTTTAAGGATTTAGAGAAGATCTGTAAAGAAGAGTGGACAAAAATCCCTCCTGAGATGTGTGCAAACCTGGTAACCAACTACAAGAATCGTCTTACCTCTGTGCTTGCCAACAAGGGTTTCTCCACCAAGTACAAAGTCATGTTTTCCTTGGGATCAAATACTTATTTTACTCACTGAACTGCAACTCAATTCATAACATTTGTATCATGTGTGTTTTTTTCTGGATTTTTGGTTGATATTCTGTCTCTATCATTTAAAATACACCTATGATAAGAATTATAGATTCTTCATTTCTATATGCAGGATATCAAATAATTATTGTCCCCCCTATACAGGAAGTGTATCTGAGAACACTCCTCTGCTACCCAGAACAGTGATCCCTGCAGTCTGCACTCACACGGAAGCAAACAGTACTAGACCACAAGTGAACCGTGTTCAGGATTGCCTCCAAATGGTCTCAGGTGCAGTTCAGAGCGCTCACAACACACTAACGATCTGGCCCAAGGGAGTGAACAGCATCTGGGACCAGTTAAATGACTAATGTGTGTGCACCCTTCTTGGTATATTAGTCAAAATATTTTTCTTTTATTTGCATAGGACATGTAAGGGCTCTCTGTCAGAGTTAACTGTCATCTGAGTTTCCACAGTTAAGGTTTTTGAGGCCAATTTACTAAAGGAGTTTAGAATATTTTCTCCCCCTGCAGCTGTTGTTGTTCCTTCCCCAGTGTCCATTACTAAAAGACATATGAAACAGTGGGAAAAACCACAGCGGCGATATGTGGGGAAGGAAGTATTCAACTCATCCAGTCGTCAAATACTTGGCAGATTTTAATACACTGGCCGCTGAATAAGTATATCAACACTTCCTTAAAACCATGTTCACAATGGCAGTAGAAACAGATGTTTCAGGAACTTTTTTGCAGTTCATTTTTTGCATAGCAAAGCAACTTATAATGGATAATATGGACATTCGCGTAGCGTTTGCATCGTTATACTTCAAAAAAGAAGCTACGTGTCAAGTAGGAGTTAAAGTTTGTCAATGCCTTCCATTCAAGTCTATTGTAATGCATTGTAAATGCACCTGTAGCATTTACAGTGAGTTTGACCAGCGTTTATCAAATATAAGTGAGGTGGAAAAAACACTTCCCCTTAATATAGAAAAAAAACGGCGCTCGGGGGGCATTTTTTATTGAGTGTTAACACATAGGCACGTTGGTTCAAGTTGTCAGCTTTAGAATTTTTTGCAAATGTGAACTTGCCTTACAGGTGGCCTGTCTGGTAAAAGTGACCCTGGGGTGACATGGTTACTTTAACAAGATGTACAGTTAGGTCCATATATATTTGGACACAGGCACAATTTTAGTTTTTTTCAGGTATTTACCAAAACATATTCAAGCAATAGTTAAATGATGGATATGGGCTGAAAGTGCATACTCTCAGGTTTCATTTGAGGGTATGTACTGTACATCTAAATTGGAGGAAGGGTTTAGGAATTACAGCTCTTATGAGTAGCCATCCCCCTTCTTTCAAGGGACCAAACGTAATTAGACAATTGAATATAATCATAAATAAAATGTTTATTTTTAATATTTTGTTGAGAATCCTTTACTGGCAATAACAGCCTGAAGTCTGGAACCCATGGACATTACCATAGACTGAGTGTCCTCCTGTTTGATGCTTTGCCAGACTCTAACTGCAGCTGTGTTCAGTTGTTCTTTGTTTGTGGGATCTTTCTGCCTTTAGTTTTGCCTTCAGCAAGTGAAATGCATGCTCAATGGGGTTGAGATCAGGTGATTGACTCGGCCATTGCAGAATATTCCACTTCCTTTCCTTCAAAAGCTCCTGGGTTGCTTTGCAGTGTGTTTTGGATCATTGTCCATCTGTACTGTGAAGCGTTGTCCAATCAACTTTGCTGCATTTGGCTGAATCTGGGCTGACAGTATATCTCTAAACACTGCAGAATTCATCTGGCTGCTTCTGTCACATCATCAATAAACACCAATTATTATTATTACCCACATGTAAACTGCAGCTTATATTTACCTGCTTGGCACTGCAGCATAGGATCTCTAAGAAATGAATCCTTAGATAAGGAGCCCCTATCTGGGTACATTCACAGTAAAAGTATAAGCCTAATTTGAGAGCATATACTGGAAGGCATGTAATAGGAGATGAGTTCCTTCTTCACTCAAGGCCATGCCTTTTCTCTTGATGATTCATTCCAGTGACATTTTATTTATGGCTTCATAAGGAGCACTGCACTTTAAAATAAAAGGTTATACTTACACACCTTATTGTCATTGTACAGACATAACAATCAGATTAAAGGTAGTGCTGTGCTTTTAGGCTGAATTCACACATAGTGTGGTGACAGACGGTCTACTGTATTGTAAAACACCTGCCACCGCGAGGACACATAGAAAACAATTGTTTTTCTCTGAATAGTGCACCACACTGCCCTCTACCGCAGTGGGAACGGACAGCAGACGGAGAGGTGAGGTCCTCTGGCAGCAGTCTGTTCTAGTGTGAATACCCCCTTGAAGAGCAGCTCCTTCAGCCCTATGTTCCATGCAGTCTTTAACATTTTAAAATCCTCAAATCTTCCCACACCTGTGTGAGAGGGCTGTGACAGAAGCAGCCATTCTCCATAGTACAACAGTGGTTCACTGACCAGGTTCAACCTCATTCTTCTAAGGCAGGGGCCTCCATATTTCTAAACAAAGGGCCAGTATATTGTCCTTCAGACTTTCAGGGGGCCGGACTGTGGTCATTGTGAGTAGAAAAGGCAAACAATGCACCATCATTGATATTAGTGGAAGGAATAGTGCCCAATCATTGGTGGCAGTAGGAGGAAAGGTGCCCAATCATTGGTGTCAGTGAAAGGAACAGTGCCCCATAATTGGTCTCAGTGGAGGAATAGTGGCCCATTGTTGGTGTCAGTGGGAAAAATAGTGCCAAAGGGCCAGCTAAAGGCAAGGAAAGGGCCACATTTGGCCCCAGGGCCGCAGTTTGGAGACCACTGTTCTAAGGCAGGAGTCTCCAAACTTTTCCATAGGAGAGCCACATTTATATTTTACAAACATTTGTGGACTGGAAAAGAATCAATTATGAATTAACTAAATTTAAATGAAGATATACATTTTACTAGGAGCTTTTTTGGTAATCCGTATGTAGGCAGGTGCGTACAAGGGGAATGTTCAATAATAGTGAGTTAGTCTGCCCAAGCTAGGGAACAGTTAAGTGCTGGATTACTGGTTTACTGGGTTTTTTGGGTCCTGCCGTTTTTCACAGTCAATATAAAAAGGGGGAAGGCCAGGCTGTTTCCTTTTGGGTGCAGGACCACATGGGAGCTGGAGTGTCTGTGTCATCTAGAAGATGTAGCCTTCATCTGCCACCAAGTATTGGACACTACCGTTTAAGGGCTCACACCTCACAGGTATGCCTGGGCAGCCGCAGAATAGTTAGCTAGGAATTGGACTGTGTTGCACTCTATTCTCTACTGTTGCAGAAACATTCAGTAAAGTTGGCAAAAATGCTCTTAACCTCCCTGGCGGTCTGATTATGTCAATATTTTTGAATGTCAAAGCGGTACATTGTTTTGCATGGAAATTTGTTGTTTTATATTGTAGGCCTGTAATTCTTAGGAATAACTCACTTAAATCTGTCCAAAGAAGAGTATAGTAAACATTCCAGGTATAATAAAGTTTGGAACACAAAATCATAAATTATAATATAATAAATAATTATAAAAAATAAGAATATAATAATAAATGTAATTCAATAATGTAATCAAACCATAAACACTGAAATTTGTCCAAACAAGGGTGCAGTATTACTAGACTCTGCATATTTGTTTAGTAAACATCCCGGGTATGAAAAATTTTGAAACATGGGACTGCACAAAGTCTGACGTCACAATCAGGACAATGGAACCTGGTTTCCTTTCTGATTTGTTTTCCAGTGTCATCTTGCTTTGAGCAACAAACCACGCACATCCTTGTAAATACTGACTTTTTCTCGGTTGGTTGGATGTAGTTCATGAAGTGAAGACCAGTCAGGCGTTCCGGGTCGACAACACCAACAGTGCAACGACCTCTATTCACAGCCATTGATGGTGTTTGGTGGTTTGCAAAGATACGTTCGACAATTTTCCAAATGAAGTCAGAATGAATCACAGGCTTGTCACTCTTTTTTTTTGAGTAGAATGTAGGCATTCCACAAGCATTGCTCAAGAAGATGCCTGAAGATCTTCTTGTAGTACTTCTTTTGCAGTTACCTCATTGCTGGGTAGAATGTCATTGCTTGGTCTGCTCTGTCAACACCTCCCATGGTGTTATTGTAGTCTGTCACTACTTGTGGCTTCATGATTTCTTTCCCACCTTTTGTGCGTACCTTAACAGTGGAGGTATTAATAATTGCATGCATTAGGCACACATCTTTCTTGTCACACCATCGCATTGCCATCATTTTGCCTTTCTGCCAGGCAACCATTTCTCCAGTCTTCAGCTTCTTATTGCCAAACAGTGGCAGCAAGTTGCGGCAGTTAGCCCTAATGGTTCCATAGGCATCTGTTTTGTTTTGCAGAAGAAACTCAAAGTTTAGGAGACGTATAACAGTTGTCGGTTGTTACGCAATAGCTTTGATTTAGCAATGGCTCAATGAGTGAAGGAACAGAAGATGTTGCCATTCCATAGTTGCTGTATTTTGGATTGAATTTTGTTCCTTTTCCAGTGTATCTGACTGACTGAATTCCAAATGAAACCAGTTGACCATTCGCATAGGATTTTACGCCAAATCGTGCTCTCTTTGATGCAATGTATTGTACCCAGCTGAGCCTTCCCTTGTAGGCCATTAGACTTTCATCTATGCTGATATCTCTTTCTGGCACATAGCTCCATTGGAAATTCTTTAGAATCATTTGAGATACTT